CGCGTGTACCATTGTACGCATTACTACGAACGTATACTACCTGCGTGAAGTTAGCACCCCATTTTTGAAATTTTAAAATTCTAAAGGTTGTTCCAGGTTGTTTTAGACTTGTTCTAAATTGTTCCAAAACATCAAATTTATATTATAAAAATTTTCGCGGAAAATTAAAAAATACAATTTTTTGACCTGGCACCCCATTTTTCAAAAATCGAACTTTTCAAGGTTGTTCCATGTTGTTCTAGTTGTTCTAAACATTGTTCCAAAGTATTAGTTTGATTGGTTAAAAACTTTAAAAGATATTGAAAAAACAAGAATTTAAGAAAAAAACATTTTGTTTATGAGAAAATGGCCAAAAATGTTTTTTTCTTAAATTCTTGTTTTTTCAATATCTTTTAAAGTTTTTAACCAATCAAACTAATACTTTGGAACAATGTTTAGAACAACTAGAACAACATGGAACAACCTTGAAAAGTTCGATTTTTGAAAAATGGGGTGCCAGGTCAAAAAATTGTATTTTTTAATTTTCCGCGAAAATTTTTATAATATAAATTTGATGTTTTGGAACAATTTAGAACAAGTCTAAAACAACCTGGAACAACCTTTAGAATTTTAAAATTTCAGAAATGGGGTGCTAACTTCACGCAGGTACGTATACTACAAACGAGTATTCCCATCGAACATTGTTGGACCGTAAGTTGAAGCTCGATAATCCCGCGAGACTGAAAAGTAACGGATAAAACAAATATGCACTTCGATTACTTGTATGTACAATAAGTGCTCGTAATTTCGAAAATGCGCCGCTGTGCATGGTATGTTACGGAGGATCCGTCCGTGCGGGGGACATTTTTTATCAATGACATATCATTTTGTGATAATGTTATTTATCGTACCAATGAATATTTAACGGGATTTTTAGCATGCAATTTAGAGCTAATACGGGATGCTTGTATATAACATTAATAAAGATTGCGACCAAACTTCTGACGAAGTATCATAATTCTCTCATAATTTCTCTCATAATTTTTCGTATATGTGCTCTTTGCTTCGTTATACTTTAGTAATATTTAATGCAAGTATATTTAATACATATTTAAATCAAATAAAAATTGGATTATTCGAGTTTGAATTATAAACATCGCGTACATTTACTGAATTAAAAATTTTGATTTTTTATCAAAATACCATCTCTCGAGAGAACAATGATAATTTTTTGAAGTAAATTTTTGAGCAATCAAAATATAGTATATAGGTAGTCTGAGGATTAAATAAAAATTGTTGAAATCTCTGTTAGTTTTACTTTCAGAATACTGACTTTTGTTAGTGTTGATCTCTCGTGAAATATTGTCGGATTTGCAACTCCGACTTGCTACGAGATTCGATTCACTCTGCCTTGCGCATTAAGTATTCTGTAATCTGTAAGAACGCGCGATCGGCTCGCTGACCCGAAAGTAATCCCCGGAAAAGAAGACGAAGAGAGATAGAATGGGAAAAGCGATGTGTATCTCTTCGCCCGCGTCCGATTATATGTACAACCGGATGTATCCGTGGTATTACTCTACCGTCTTTCTGCTTCGTCGAAAACATGCAAGTATGTGTATGTATAGTATATGCCCGAGAGACCTTGCGGGTTATCCCGAACGAACGGATCGTATCCGCGCCACGAGGCTATTGTCTGATTCGAGATTCGTCAAGTGCCGACGATCGAACGGGCTCCGTCCGGGCTTTATTGAAGGCTACACGCGCCCGCCGATATGTGTTCGTTGTATATCGATTCGACGTTTACGATCCGTCGTAGTGCCTCCTCTGAAGTGGACGTCGGCAATCGTCAGCGATAATTTTTATCGTAGAGTATATTCTTAACCCCGGAAAAAATGCTTGCGCGCTGCGCATAATTCGAGAATCGTCTCCTTATACGGCGATTTTACGAAAAGATTATCTTTGTTTATAACTATCTCTCTCTTTCTATAGCTCTTCTATAGAAGTTTCTCCTTAACGCACATGTTTTAATAAAAATTAATAGCATTTATAAGTTACAAGTCACGAAAAATAGTATCCTTGCAAATTGGGCTTTAAAATTGTGAATTTTTATTATTGAGTTAGTCGAAAAGATATTCTTACAGTTCTACAGTGTTAAAATATTTTATTATTATATATAATAAATCCCTTAAATGTAATTTAGATTTAGTATGACGAAAGTATTGCGATATTACATTATATAGAATCGTTTGTTTCGCGTAACATTAAACGTTTAATGGCTACAATTTCTACAACGTGCTACATACAAAAATAATAATTTATAATAAATAAATTTTATGACATTAAATTTAAAAAAAGATCTCAATGTTATCAATTTTAGATTATATCAAACTTAATATATACAAAAAAATTAATGTATATATCTCTTAAATTTATTTATTCAAGTAACTATTAACCATTTATTCATTACTTTCATCAAGTACTTATTCTTTCATTGAATGATGACTATGTTTGCTTTTTAAAGGTATGTTGTTATTTTTAAAAGAGGACATCCGCATAAGTTTAAAGAATTAATCGTAAGATTATAAAAACTCGTATTTAAGATTTTAGTTCGTAACTATTTATACGTTATCATTTATAATTGTATTCGAAGATTTCTTATTATGCTAAAAAGATTATCATATCAAAGATATATCATTTTTTATACTAAACATGAGATATATATAAAATAATGATAACTTAACACATTACTTTACATGACAGACATAAAGTAATTCCGGAGAAAGTAGTATAAACTTTTTGAAATCGACAAAACAAATCGAGAATCCCCGTAGGGGAATAACAATAAGATAACGCTGACTTATTCAAGCTTTTGTGTCCGCCGTGAAAACGCTGAGACGGATTATCCAAACGATTTTGGTGGAGCCCTTCGATTCATCGATGACGGCGAACTGGTTTGAAAGCGAGTTCGGTCGACGAGAGACCGACGTTTGCGGGAGGAAACGAGCAAGGAGCCGGGTGACGAGACGCGAAAAGGAACGGCCCGGTATCGATAAAAAGAGACAGGTGGGGAGAAAGAGAGAAAGATAGTGAGACCAAGTGAAAGTCCCTCGGCAAAAACCAGGCCAGGGCTTCGTATCTTCGCGCGAACATACACCGATGGGGCTATTATGCAATTACGCATTTGCACGGCTGTACCTACTTACGCGTCGCCTCGCCGGAACGAACGGCCGCGTCCTTATTTCTCTCCCATTGCACGATTTACGTTCTAAATGGCTAAAAGTTTTCAAATTACGGTCGCGGTCGCGACGACATTGTTTTTCCGATTAGCAAGGACCCATTTGCGATCGAATACCAGTGAAACAAGGCCGTTGACGTTTTTTTTTCACAACGCGCAAAGCACATTCTTTCGTTCCGTAATAATCCCTCCATGCATTCAGAAATCTATGATAATGTGTTTTTATGAGAAAAACAATCCGATATATATATATATATATACATGTAGAAATCTAAAAGATTTTCTGCTTATATGCAATACTTGAAAAACAATGTTGTACAAATGTAGAAAATGTGTGAAAAAGTATCGTGTCATAAATGTAGGAGATGAAGTAAGTACATACATACTTCGCGCTCTTTGGAATCGGGAGAATAAATAGCATGTCGAAAGAATCTCGTCCCCCTTCGTCTTTCTCCAGCTGACAATATTCGAAATCATAAACCTTTCATACTTATGCTAAGTTTGGAACGCTCCTCTTAGATCGTATTTCAAGCGTTGACATACGTTTCGTGTCTGTACATAGATATGAATGTGACGCAAGAATCGTTTGACGTTTAGAAAGAAATAAACGAAAAGGATAAAATAGATATATTACGTTAAATCGTTTCGCGCGTTTATTCCGTTTTTATATTTTGTTATAATTTAAATTGTTTAATATTTCAATAGTTAAATAATTTGGTTGTGAAATAACGTATCCACGTAAGAGTAACGTATAATCACGAAATGTATAAAATCATAGCGTTATTCTCAGGAGGTCAAAAGGCCAGCAAACATTCCGCGAAGGTATTTTCTCGCATCCGTCTGTACCGTGGAAAGCGGAAGGCCACGTAATTTATATCGTTTTGTGTAATAATGAGACACGAAATGTGAATATTACCGCAAAGAGAGTACTGAAGATGCCGCGTAATAACAATAACTACAGGTAACTTTTGCATAACGCGACGTGCCACACGCGAATCTCGTCGGGAATTCCAACACATTTTAAATTGACGTAATACAGCTCAGAATTCATACAACATCCGTCTATATATCACGAGCTGAATAAATATATTATATTAATTCTTATAATATGCACACAGAAGAGAGAGGAAAGTTGTTTTAATGCATCATCATATAATACGTAATCACGCACTCATCGCGAATATATGTATATAAATGTTTTTCTTGAGATATTGTAGCATAATACTATCATGCTATGTATTGATTAATAAAATAGATAATAAATCCAATTAAAATTTATAAATAAAATAAATCTCTTTCGAATATTATCTGAATCTATAAACGCATCACGCATTAATGATTACGTGTAAAAGAAGCGTAAGATTTGGAAAAATATTTTGAGGCAAGATAACGAATTAAAAAAGAAATTTTAATTCGTTATCTTGCCTTAATTGTTATTTTTATATTTTCAATAATGCTGCTAGAACATCAGAAAACCAAAGATTCGTGAAAAAATACGGAAATGGAAATTCATATACAGTTTAATAATTATTATTTTGTGAATTATTTTACTCATTCAAATTGAGAAGATTCTTCTAAAATATTACTTAAAATAAAATCGATAAATTTAAATTTTATTGTGTAAAAAAGTATAGAAGCGCATGTGTTGCGCTATTATCTCCTTCGGCCTCCTCTAAATTGTGAGATCATTTCTCCAGACTGACATAACGTTGTCTATCTATTTATTATATTATATTCGATAATCGCATTATGCTTTAGCTGACTGTTAATAATTGGAAAGACTTACCGAGCTGCAATGTGGCGAGGGCGAACAAAAGCAAACCGGAGATAACTCGCTGCGACTTCGCATCCATTTTTCGGTGGTTCCGGTCACTGCAGGGGTCGAGTCCTCTTCTTTTCCGGTCACTGCTGCGGATGGTGGCGATGCTGGCACATGTACACACACACGAACCACACGCGCGCACTATATTCGATCTGCAATTCGAAAAGAACACTGTGAAGCCACGCGCTGATCTTTCCCACAAAAAGATCCTGTTAGTCACGTCAAGGATTTTTAATTTTTAATATAATTATTACCATACGTTGGGTAAAATACTATTTGGGCTTAAGTTATTATCAATAATCGCGTAATCCGAATTGGAAAAACCTCGATATACACGTATAAATCAAAAAAATTATCGCGCATTTCTCTCGAAAAAATAATCATAGAAATATAGAAATAAATTGGCGGTATAAAATAGCAAGTGATCGGAATTATAATAATATAACATTAAGAAAAATATCTATTTGAAGAAATACGCGTATTTCTATTAATAAATGATATAAGATAACTATTTGAAATACGCACAGATTAAAAAAAGGAAAAAGAAAAATATTGCTTGTTAAAACGCGATAAATTCACGAGTTTTGAAAAGTTTCGATCAAGTTTTGATGAATGCCGAATATGATATTTCGAACGATAATTTAATACGCACGAGGAATGATCGACGAGAGATCGAACAAGCTTGATGGTAACGATCCACCGACTCAGAGTCAACTGACTGAAAATTCGACATCGCGCGGCACACCTTTCTCGCAAGATCACACAGCTCACAGACCGTGTACGATCTACCGTTACTCGAAGATCATACTTCTGAGGCACAAAAGCCGTATGAAAGAGTCTTACAATACAGAAATTTCTATCATGTAGATACGAGATAATCGCGGGAATCAATACATGTTAACACTTATATATAATCCGGAAATATGCATGTCTGTCCTGTTATAAATTAGTTCAGTTTATGCTTTGAACATAGTACGGCGATTCTAATTTAGTGTAAATTGTGTTATCAGTTGTCTATATCTTTAATTATAATCTATTAATCATTTTAAATCGATTTGTATTCCAAATTTTGCGTTTTTTTTTTATACCTTACGTTAATACGATGTCACGTTGCTGTAATTTATGCGTATGAACGTCGACGTCTAAAAGACAAATCATAGATACGAAAAAAGAAAGATATCTCTCGCGAAGAAAATAAGTCTTCTCGCGCAAAAATAAATGCGAGTTTGTCGCTCTCATCGTGTGACGTGCATAAAAGGCGCTGTGAATAGCGATAAACGATTTTTTGATTGCTCTCTCTTCACGTGCGCGATCGCTCTCGAACGGGTGATAAACGTGACAATCGGGAGAGATATCGGCATCACAAAAATATATTTTTGAAAAGGTAACTCGCGCCAAGGATCGTTCAACTATTGCGGATAAAACTCACTGCTGGATACAATAGAACTAGCATAGTTATAAACTATACAATTAGAATTGTACGAAGACGTTTCTTCAATTATTGAGAGACATAAAAATCAATCTGCAATTTTTTCTTGCAATATCATTTACATAAGAAAAAATATCATTTCAATATTCTCTTATAATATTATTATATTAAATTATGAATACATCATTTAAAATGTATAGCAAAAAAGTAACATTTTTATTTTTTTTTTATACCTTACGTTAATAATCTCTCCATATGTCAAATACAAAAAATGTAAGAACTAATGGACTTAAACCTTATAAAAGTTATAAGACTCGACTTAAAATTAAACTGCAAATCGACTGCAAATTAAAAAACAGAATATGTCTCTAGAATTATTAGTCTCCATTGGAATTATTAATCGTTCAATAGAATTTTGTTTATTAAAATTCTTATTTGCTCCTTTTTAAACGTTCTATTAAATTTTAAAAATTGTGCATATATTATAGTTCATTTTTTCTATATGTAAATTTAATATTTAATATAAAACAAAAAACAATACACGTAAGATATCACTATAATATTCATAAAATGTATAATTCTTAAAATATACGATATAAGAAAGATCAGTTAGTATATATAAAATATTCTGAAGCGCTTTGAGAGCATAGTGTTATCCATTAAAGCCATCCATGTATAACATATTTCGTACCTACTATACGTTCCGGTAAACAAGAATTTATGTATTACAAACAAGAATTCATGCTAAAATGTTTGGAAAATCTCATTATCTAAATTTCTTTGTTTAGCATGATACGTTGTATACCAAAATTATAGGAGAGAGTTAAACATAACGTAATGCAACAATTAAAATACCATTAAGATCATCAAAGCAAAATTTGCGCACGCACTATTTACTGCATTGCTTCATCGCAATTCATTAAAAAATTATATTTTGAAATTCCAAATATACAAGATGATATAAGATTTCCACTATTTTTAATACACAAACTCCGATTTGGATAATATTTTGAAATTTAATGTAAAAATTAAAAGTACAAAAATAATGTCGCGTTTTAAATATATTATATATCGAAATCTCTTTTTTTTTTCAAAACGTTTCTTTAAAGATACGTCCTATCCTGATATCTGATTGGATAGCAGTGTCGAAACTTTTTATTTTAAATTTATTTTCGGCGTTGTTTAGACTTTCAATTTTTGCAAAATATGTATCGCGCTGTGTGCTGCTGTCTAGAAAAAACAACGAGTGCAGTATCAACGCGTATCAGAGGCCATATATTTCCTACTATGTATAGTTTCGAACATAATCTCTTTCTACCGCTCGAAAGCACACGCATATAGACATCCGGTATTTTGGCAGCGCTTATCTCGGACGTAATTTTTGTGTCTCTATCGCGATATATTTCTATCTCGATAAATAGAAAAAGAAGTTGATTTCGAAACAATTATGGATGAAATCTATAAAATCATTATTGGAAAACATATTAGTAACATAAAACATGTTACTTTGCCTTTGAAAGAGGCAATTTTGCATCACAAAAATATCTTTTAGAAGCAATTAACACGCCGAAATATTTTACATTAATCAAAACATATCGTTATCTCTTTATTATAAAATACCGTACATTTTATATTAAATATTCATCAATGAGAGAGAGAAAGAGAGATATTTATGTCAAAATTTTGTTTATATATAAATGGAAATACACTCATATACATATATATATATATATATATATAATTTGAACTAAAATTTCAAATATTTTTTTATGTTGCATCATATCGGTGATCTCATTTTAATTTTCTTGATAGCCTTCTGGAAATTTTTCTCTCCTTCGAAAAATAATAAAATATATAAATTTTTCTATCATATTAAATATAATTAAATATATCTTTCTCGCCATTACAAAATTTTTCATATGATTCATTCAATATGTCTATATAATTATGGTAAAATTATTTCATTTCACGAATGTTTCTCATTATCAAAATAAAGCGTCATATAATCAATAAATCCGTAAATTCGACATCGTAATCGATGAAACCTCATTCTTACAGAATCCCGCGCGTATTCGAGTAGCTTACTCGAATGCGTCAAGAAACTACACGCATTAATTAATTCACTTAGTTACGCGTCTCATATAATCATGATTGAATTATTATATACAACGGTAGACACAGAACAATTTATTCTTAAAAATTCATCAATCAGCAAAATATTTTTTTTTTATAAAAAAACATCAAAAATATACTAAATTATCTCGCATCTTAAAAGATAAAACAGCCAATAAATTTAACTTATTTAATAAACATTGATCAATAATTCTATGATGTTGATTTGTCTCATATAAAACATAATACATAGAGAATAATTTAAAAAAATTAATTAATTGTAAAAAATTACATTTATTTATTATGTGATATTAGATATATGATCTTATTAAGACTTTTGTACAATTAATCGAAAGTCGCGCAATTTTAGATATGCTGATAATTAAGACTGATATCATACATATCTTATTGTGTTATTCAAAATACTGTTTTGCGATCTCTCTTCAATAGTTATAAAAGAAATACTTTTCTTTATTAAGAAGGAAGAGTTTTATATAATAAAAGTATTCAATCTCTCTCTCTCTTTCAAATCAAATTAATATTTTTGGCAAGATACTGCAATAACACGAAGATACAACAGAGATTTCTTTCCTAGCCATCTTACCGATAATATTAGACTCTCCGACTCAATAATTCTAAAGATATCATTGCTAAATTATATTACGAGTGTGATATCTCGGTATCAAAATTTCTTTTTACCAGACCCGAATAACAGAGATTCACCCTCTTCACGTCGCCATACAATCGGCCTTCCCGCGCACATCGGTTAACATTAACGGAACTATTCTCACGTTCACACGGACATCTCTCCCATCGCGCACACAGCATACCGATACGAGATGATAATTTTCATTCACTTTTGCCAGCCCAACCCCTCCGATACTTCATCCCTACGATATTTCAGCACTCGATCTTGGATTCTTCGCGACGCTTATGTCACCGCGGTCTTATCGCGCGCGCGTTATTTCTTGACGGGGCCCGACAACCCTGACCTTATCAACCAACCGCGCACGGCGCGGCAGCAGCAGCAGCAGCAGCAGCAGCGAAGCCGGCGCCGAGGGGGCCACCACACGGAGGCCACCACCGTGGAACGCGCGTTTTCGTGTGGATGTAGAAGGACTGACGGCGGCGGCTGCACGGCACTACTCGCACCGCTCGGGGGAGCGAGCACGACGCACCCCGTTCCCCGGGATATGTATTGGCGGGTAGGAAAGCTCCACCTATCGCGCGACCGAATGGGAGGGCCACAGGAAGACCCGGAGCTTGCGCCCTTCGGCTAGTCCGTGCACCAACCCCTTCCTTGGCTTTTTCCCAACTTTCGAGCTTGCGGTGCGCCCTCTCCCCTCCTGTCCTACCCTCTCGCCATCGCTCGCCGCCGTCATTACCATCGCCGCTACCATCCTGCGAGCTTTTGCCCCCGGCCCACCTCTCTCTCCATCCCCCAACTCTCCTGTCCCCGTTGCCGTTCCGCTTCTCATTCCACCCGCCCTAACCCTCGCTAGCCGACGGGACTCCTATCCTAATACGATACAGAATGCCAACCGGCAAAATTCGGACTAGCAGCAGCGGACCGCAAGCACGGAGTCGACGAGTTTCCTTCATCCAGGAAACGCAAAGTGGGGAGAGAGGAAGGGGGGAAACCCTTGCGGATACGCTTGCAGCTTGCGCGTCTTCTTGCGTTACCTCTGACCGAGCGCTCTTCTTCTTGTCCCGCTGTACTTTTTGGCGTTCTGTATGCGCGCGAGTGCACCTTTTTACTGAGAAGGGCTGAATCTCGGTTGGATTTACACGCGAGAGCGTGTATGCACAGAAAACCTTGCTTGCTTAAGTAGACGTTCATCCGTTCTCTTTGCTTGCAGTTTCTTGCTTGCGTGCGGCACCGAAACGCGAAACCGAGAGTTAGCACAACAGCACAGAGTTTTCGAAATGTATGCAGCGTCTTTTTGGAAGCTCAACGCGATATCTCTTTTCGTTACTTTATCTTTTAGTTTTGTATATATGACTTTCTGTATCTATTTGACGGTTCCGTGTGTCAAGCTCTTTCTCGAGCTTATATTGAATAGCTAACATATCTCGTGAATAAAGAAACGGAAAAATATCTATCCATGCAGAAACATCAACATTCTTCTTTTCAGATATTAAAATGCAAATTTTTTTCCACTATTCGTTTATCCACAACTGAAACATACACACGCACGTGGTAGTCAATGGTAATAATTTATTCTCCTAGACAAGTCGTCTCTATTCTATTTTATAAGCTTGCTGTTCTATTAAAGGTTACAGTTTATTTTATTCTATCATTCTATAACAATTACAAATAATTCATAAAATTATAGATGTCGTGAAATGTATTCAAATTTAATTGGAATTCATAACTGTAACATGATTCGGACTCTAATAAATAGAGAAATATACATACGATAAATTTCAAAGAAAATACTTCTAATCGCACGATGCAGTTTGTAAAAATGGAGATCCACTCGAGCCCCTCTCAACGAAAATATGCGTGCAAAGTACTAGCATGTCGAGCGGTCGGTGACAGCTTTTTCGATCGTTCGTATTTACGCGTTTTTTAAGCGCGTTTTGGCCGCTACATATGGACGGATGAAATTATTGCTTTCGACGGGTTCAAATAGCACTCGTGGATATTGTGCTCAAAGGCTCATGGGAAGCATTGTGCGCGGCATCGATGTCACGTTGCTGTGATTTATGCGTATGAACGTCGACGTCTAAAAGACAAATCATAGATACGAAAAAAGAAAGATATCTCTCGCGAAGAAAATAAGTCTTCTCGCGCAAAAATAAATGCGAGTTTGTCGCTCTCATCGTGTGACGTGCATAAAAGGCGTTGTGAATAGCGATAAACGATTTTTTGATTGCTCTCTCTTCACGTGCGCGATCGCTCTCGAACGGGTGATAAACGTGACAATCGGGAGAGATATCGGCATCACAAAAATATATTTTTGAAAAGGTAACGCGCGCCAAGGATCGTTCAACTATTGCGGATAAAACTCACTGCTGGATACAATAGAACTAGCATAGTTATAAACTATACAATTAGAATTGTACGAAGACGTTTCTTCAATTATTGAGAGACATAAAAATCAATCTGCAATTTTTTCTTGCAATATCATTTACATAAGAAAAAATATCATTTCAATATTCTCTTATAATATTATTATATTAAATTATGAATACATCATTTAAAATGTATAGCAAAAAAGTAACATTTTTAATTCAATTATATTTATTTATTCAATTATAATTATGTTATTATTCATTTATAATATAAAAATTTAAGACCTTTATAAAATCTATAACTGCAAAAGCGCTATCTTTCTATTCTAAAAATTTAAAAATAAAAAATGTGAGTTTTACTTTCATATCATCTAATTTTTTTACACAAATAAAAGTCTCGCATTACTTTGCAATATATTTATTTTATTAGTTAATATGATGTGTCAATTTCATATATTATCGTTATCCTCTTTTATTTTATTTTTATCAATTCAAAGGTAATCAGATAAATTTAAAGATAAATAATATGCTGGAATAAAATGGAGAAACTTCAGAGACAATCATTCTTTTTAAAATCGCAAAACTAAAAGAAAAAAATCTGATAATCGATATCATGAAGTATAATGTCAAAAATGGGCCTCTTTACATCGTAAACAAGCGACATCGAGAAAATTTAATGGAACAACGATAGCATCTAGATATCTGTCAAACTTTCTGCAGCAGCGTTAAACAATTGCATTGGCAGGTTTGGCTAATATTACACAAACACCGTATCAACTTGTCGTCATTGTGCAATTTAATTAAACATTTCATTACGCTTCGAACGACAGGTAAGCGATAGATATACAGATGCAATCGCGATTACATCCGCATATGGAGCGTCCGTGCATGTACGATCACATTCTGACAGGAGGATACGAGTTTAATCAAGTATTTAATTACGAGAAATTAAAATTGTAGGAACGATTTAATTATATTGTATTATCTTATAAGGAAATGCATCAAACTTTTGTCTTTTCGTCGATAAATAATCGTGTTCATATAAAGAGTTTTTTTCTCAATTATACGAAAAATATAAATATATCTTGCTTTTATCGCTTTACAAATGTATATTTAATAAAAATATGCAAGAGTTTATTACATAGATATCATTTAAGGACTACTGATGTCCCTTTTCACGACACGACCATTTACGGGCGAAGCTGGGAAATATCCCCTGTATCAATAATTTTTATAATAATATCGGAAATGATGCAGAAAGATATCTCTCACGTGAACCAAATCGGGGAATAACGCTCTTTTCGAAGCACGATCTACCGAGAAAAGCGTAAGGCCTATCTTTCTTAAAAATGTCTCATTTTTCACATTTACTTTTTAGCGACAACGAAATGGCACCGAATCGTGGATTCGGCGAACTGCACGCTCGCGTTACGCGGGCAGACTGAAAATATGACGGTATTTCAATGAGAAATGAACTTCTTGCTCCGTAATGCTTTGAGTATATATTCCCGTTTCGCTGCTTCGCCTTGCCGATTCGTTGGTACGAGAACATTTTGAAGATTCTCTCTCGTTTTCTCCTCTCCCTGTCTTCCTCAC